CTCTATGGGGCCCGGCCGTATGGACCGCGGCGCGTGGTTCTCTATGGTGCCCGCCTTTTCGACCGCGGCATGTGGTTCTCTATGGGGCCCGGCCGTATGGACCACAGTATATGATTTTCTATGGGGCTCGCCTTATGGACCGCGGCGCATGGTTCTCTATGGAGCCTGGCCATATGGACCACGGCATGTGGGTCTCCATGGGGCCTGGCCATATGGACCGCGGAACGTGGTTCTCTATGGTGCCTGCCTTATGGACCGCGGCATGTGGTTCTCTGTGGGACCCAGCCATATGGACCGCAGTGCGTGGGTCTCTATGGGGCCCAGCTGTATGGACCGCAGCATATGGTTCTCTATGGGGAATTTGCACCTCTCCGCATGGATTGAGCTGGAAGGCTGAGTCGGATGAGGTAATCTGCACTTTTACCAGGCATGCCAGGCCTTCCCGGGGCTGCTCAGTGCCTGGTTTTCATCCCTGTGTGTGTTTCCTTGCGGTGTTTGGTGTGTTTGCTTTTTCCTTCTTGCTGGTCGACAAGCCAAAAAGGCTTGTGCTGCCCGGAGGAAATGACTGCAAACCTGGAGTAACTGGCAACCCTTTGTGCCCCTTACCATGTGTTGGCAGCGCTGCCCAGACCCCGACTGAGATCGGGGACGCCCTTGTGCCGGGCATGGCACAGACACCTAGTAAGGAACAGACCCTGCCTGGAAGACCGGGATGCGGACGAGCAAGGCAGGGGAGAACAGAAGGATTATCGTTTTAAGGTGGGGAACGGACGGCTGGCGGCGTTTTCAAAACCACACCAGTGATTTAGGAGTCCGAGTCCTCCCGGAAAGTCAACGTGGCCCGGGATGGTCCGTTCTCGCCACATCCTGCCGCCTGGAAACCAAAGCAGCCCTCCTGTTCAAATCCCCCACCCTAGAGCCAGCAGGGAGAGGCGGATCTTCCAGGCGAACGTTGCACTGGAGCCCGAGGAGGAACAAGAGGATGCTGATCTGAGTTACCCCAGGGTAAATCCATTATAGCGTTGAAAACAGGTATCTCCACCACTCGTAAATGTAATCGGAACCCTCCTTTGATGCTGGGATCACTTTCTCTATCCCTGCAGAGCAGCGTGGGAGACAGCAAGGCCTTGTGAACGTGATGGGGAGAAATCTCAGGCTATTCTCGTTCGCAGCCCCGAGGAGAAACCCAGCCCTGCTCTTTCGCACTCGGGCCAGGTTCTGAAAGGGTCACTCACCCCGGGGCCTCCGCACCACGTCCACCTTCACCTCGGAGCTGAAGCGCAGGCTCCTCCGCGAAGGAGGGACTTGGACCCTGAGCAAGCGGAAAGCAAGAGCGGGGAGACAGGCTGGGGAAGAGGCAGTGTGGCCGAGTGGGTAGCGACACTGGCTTGGTAGTCAGGCTGCCGGGTTTCTGCCACTGAACTGCTGTGTGACCTGAAACAAGTCCCTTCCCCTCTATTTCCCTGCTCACCTTTTGTCTATTTAGGCGGCGACAAGCTCCCGAGCTCCCGCTCTGTGTCTCCGCAGCACCCGGCGCATCGGGGCCCCCGAGAGGTGCTACCAGTGTGGCAGAAATTTGGCTCTGTCCTATTACAGCTTCTTTCCACAACGCTCTTTTGAGGGGGGGAAAATGTAAACACGGCCAAGTGTTTCCACTTCGTTTAATAGTGCAGATTATAAATAAGCTGCATTTCCCATAACGAATACAGGAGAGGACAACCACTGTCTGAAGAACCTTTCGAGAGAAGAACCTGAGGCATCGAAAAGCAGCAAAATCGATACAAGAATTCTAGCACAAATTTCGCCTAGGGTCACTCTACCGTGAGATAAACGAAGGACTTGTCCAATAAACCTTTAGGGTCACTTCTCCTATAGTTGAACAACAGATCTCTCTTGTTAACTTCAAAAAATACACATTAAATGCTGTGGAACAGTAAAAACATGAATCATTTGGGCGTGGATCCATCTAGGTATTTACACTCATGGCTGGACATCGACAGGCTTATGCGTCCGCTTCAAATTAAGCGTGGGCTTCTGTTCTTTACTGCACAACATGAGCGAATGTCATAGGGCCAGACAGCAAACCCCTCACTCGAATACACGCTCGCCAAACATCTGATACCTCCAGAGATACTAGCCACAGCAGGCTAGGATGTGACGCCTTCAAAAGCCCAATGCTCATTTTGCAGTGACAACAGACGGTCTGAACGTTGCCGAGAACCTGTGCTTTTATCCTGCAGCACTGGAAGAGTCAGGTGCCAATATTGGCTGAACCTCACCCAGCCACAGTCCTTGCCCAAAGCAGGAGTACTTTCCTGGGCCCAGGTTAGAAAAGAAGATAGCTTGTTTTCTTAACAAAAACCCCAAATAGATGGTATGATTAAAAGTTTGCCGTGGGGTTTTCCAAATGACCGACGTCCCTTTGGAAAAGAGAGCCAGCCATCGGAACTGTCAATCGGGTAAGAACCCTGATTGTTCTGGCGGGGAAATTCACCGGGACCACCTGAATTTCACCCTTGCTGTTTTCATTCACATCGGCCTTCCGAAATGAGCCAGGCTTGGGTTTTCCAAAGAGCACTGGAGGGTCAGGCGTTTGGCTCCCGTGGGCTCACGGTATTTCCTCAAGGGTGATTTATAATTCATTACCCCGAAACTAGGCACAGGGGAACTGGCCGGAGCAGAACTGGTTCCAGATTCGCACCCCGCTCTCCCTGACACGAAGGTTTGGGGAAAGCCAGCGGTATCGCCTCTCCCCTCGGTGCCCCACTCCACACTTACCTCACCTGGACGGCTCTTGCTGGGGAGAAGAGAAGAGTATCCGAGTGTCCTGGGACCGTGCCACCCATGGCTTTTGCCTTTCCCCGCTGTCTCCCACGAGACTGGCACTCATCAGAGGCTCCCACTAGCCAACCCAGCCTTCCACCCGGGGCAGAGACGGATCCAAACTTCAGCTCAGGTTCTGACAAGGTCCCAGGCTGGAGGCTTATCTGAATATTTTTGGTGGGGAGGGCGGCCAGGGGACATGGCTTCAAGACCGTTTCATCGCGTGTCAGGACTACTCATCATTCCCAGGCGCAGAAGGCAGCAGATTCCTTAGGACCGTTGCCTGGGCTGCTTTGCTCTCTAAGCGTTTGCTAACTAAAACACCCCTCCGATATGTAGGAGTGGGGTGCGGGCGAATACAGGCAGCCTCCTCTTCTTTTCTACTCGCGCTGAATCACTATGGAAACAATCCTGAAGTCTCTGCTGGTGTCTTTCTGGCTACGGAGCCGTGTCCCGAAAGCACACAGAGAGCGTCAAGAAGGAAGCGGTTGCTTTCCTTGCCAAAAAAAAACAACAAAACCCAAACCAAAATCCAAGGCACGAAACAGTCAATAACCAGGAACCAAGCAGGCACTCGGGGAGTTCGCTTTCTCGACGCCCGATGTCAGGAGAGGAGAGTTAATCCACTTTCAATATAAGGCCTGCTGCAAGCGTGCATGGGTGATAGCCCCCTCCATCCCCCACGCTGAGCACTTCAAGATCACTCTTCCGGCTGGTGCCCAAAGCCCCAGAAGGTTTCCTGAGGCAGGCACCTGACCGACGGCTGGGGTCGGTCTGCCGTGGCCACAAGGGAGGAGACCACCTCTGCGATCCCTTGCTGCTCTCCCATGCTGCAGCTCCACTGAGGGCCAAGGAATGAAAATAGAAAAGGTTACCAGCAAAATCGTTCTTAGCCCAGACGTCCTACGCCCGAGTCCTGTACCTTATCCATCACACCGGACTCTCCTCGGTGGGTAAACAGATAATCCATCCCTTCCCCCTCCCCCGCATGCTGAGGCACTATGAAGGCTGCCCTCCCATTTACTTCTGCACAAGGACCCGATTTCCAGAGAACTTTTGCTCGTTCTATGAGTCAAGGTGTTAGCGACGGCTTTAATCACCAACCATTGCCTGGGATGTGAAAGCCCAGCTCGGTTTGTTCTGCCTCTGACATCATCAGGGTAAAGATTTGCCAAGTGGGACTGAGCGGACAATTCTGTCGTTGATGTCAGAGGCAGAAAGGGATGCGGCTTGCTCTTTTCTAGCTGCGCTGGCCCTGCAGTTCTAAGGGGTGTGAGGGCTTGAGAGCAGGTGAAGTCATCCACAGAGGAGAGAGAGGACTATATTTACAAAACTACTTGAAAAGATCGTGAGAGGAATTGTGAGAGGCATGATTACACCTGGCTGATTCAAAAAAAAAATTTTTTTTTGGTGGAAAATGCCAATTAATTGAAATTGAAACTTTTTGCAGGAAAGTTTCAACAAATATTCCTGTTCTGAAAAAAAAAAATTGGGGGGGGGGGGGGGAAAGCTTTGAAATTGTGAAAACCTGCTGTTTTGACATTTTAAAAAGGAAGGTTTGAAATGACTTTTTATTTCGAAATTTACGTTAGTTTGTCATTTAAAAAATGTTACCAAAAAAAAAAGGGAAAATCAAAATGAAAAATTTCAGAATGATTGAAAGGACAGATTTCGATTGAACTGATCCAAACTGATTTTTTTCCCCCAGGTGTTCCGTTCGCAAACATTTTGACTTTTTGTCCTGATTTGGGACAGGGAAAATTTACAAAATCTCAAAGATTCTCACAGGACGGGAAAACCATTTCCCACCCTGCGCTAGAGGTAATAAAGTTATACAAAATGATAAATGGGAATTAGGGTCGAACCCTTCCATTCATTTATCCATAACACAAGAACGAGGGTGCTATTCAATTCAACTGGAAGGCAGCAAATTAAAAACCGATCAGAGGAAAAACTTCTCCACACAAGGCACAATTAGCCTATGTAACTCACTGCCACAGTATCTCATTGAGGACAAGGGTTTATGGTTGTGTGCAAGATACGGAGGTAATCGTTCTGATTTATTTGGCACTGGTGAGGCCTCAGGTGGAATACCGAGTCCAGTTTTGAGCATAACACTTTAAGAAAAACGTGGCGAAATTGGAGAGACCCCAGAGGAGAACCACAAAAATTATACAAGTTTTAGAAAACCTGACCTACGAGGAAAAGTTCAAAGAACGGGGCACCTTTAGGCTGAGGGGGGACCAGATAACAATCTTCAAATATGTTATAAAGAGGGATCGTGATCAATTGTTCTCCATGTCCACGGAGAACAGGACAAGAAGGACGTGGCTTAGTTTTCAGCAAAGGAGATTTAGGTTAGATATTCGGAAGAACTTTCTGACTCTAAGGGCAGGTCCACACTGGGGCGGGGGATTGATCTAGGAAACGCAACTTCAGCTACGAGAATAGCGTAGCTGAAGTCGACGTTTCCTAGATCGAACTAAATTTACTTACTTCGGGTCCACGCGGCGCAGGCAGGCTCCCCCGTCGACAGCGCTTCCTCCTCTCGGCGAGCAGGAGTTCCGCAGTCGACGAGGGAGCGCTTCTGGGATCGATCTATCGCGTCCAGATGAGAAGCGATAAATCGATCCCAGATCGATCTCTACCCGCTGAATCAGGCGGGTAGTGTGGACCAGCCCTAAGGATAGTTAAGCACAGGAACGGGTTACTTAGGGAGGTTGTGGATTACCCATCCCTGGAGGTTATTAAGAACAGGTTAGACAAACACCAGTCAGCAAAATGGTCCAGGTTTACTACTTCTTACCTCAGCGCAGGTCCCTTCCAGCCCGACATTTCTATGATTAGCAGGATTCGGGTGGGTAACGAGAACATCCAGGGTGAGACTAATCAGGATTTCCAACTAAGCAAGAGGTTTGGAAGGGATATGACTCCTCCTGCATTAAGGCATGAGTCAATCCCCAAGTAATAGGATTTCTTGTTCCACCATTGGAAACAGGACATAGGACTGGCTGGACCATGAATTTCCCTATGTTCTGAGCATGATGACACTTTTGGGGGCCACCGTTTTCCATCTGAACAAAAACCGAGATGTGCACCTCACACAGTGAACAGGAAAGGTTTAGGGGAAAAAAACCCAAGCCCATTCATTCACCCATCTTTGTGATCCACACACCCCACTCACCTGCCCGCTGCTGCTGCAGCTAACAAAAGAGTCCTCTTCACAGAGCCAGGAAGGTCTTGGCTTGGTCAAACGGCTCAGCAGGTCTCTTCCGCTTTGCAATTCTTCTGCTAGAGAGACAGCGGCGCCTTCGAGCCCTTCAGAGTTGGCTGGGGAGCCGTATCCACCCCATTTCAGCCGCTTCAGCCTGTACAGTGCCATGCACACAGCACAGTGGTTGCAAATACTTGAATATGCCCCAGGAGTAGCTAGAGGCCAGAACTGAGATTGGAAGCCCTGTACAGTAGGACCTCAGAGTGACAAACTGACCACCCCAACAACAGTTTCATAGATTCCAACGCCGGGGGGGACCATTGTATAACCAAGGCCAGAGACCTGCCCCAAAATATTCCCGAGAGCAGATATTTTAGGAAAACATCCAATCTTGATTTAAAAATGGACAGTGATGAAGAATCCACCATGACCCTGGGTCAACGGTTCCAACGGGTAATTCCACTCACTGTTAAAAATGTACGCCTTCTTTCCAGTCTGAATTTGTCTAGCTTCCACTTCCAGCCATGGGACCGTGTTTGACCTTTCTCTGCTAGATTGAAGAGCTCGTTATTAAATATTGGTTCCCCCCTTGTAGGTACTTATAGACTGCAATCAAGTCACCCCGTAACTTTAATTACTCAGGTTGGAAGTTGGCCGGGACAACGAGATTAACACCTGACTTAAAAACTACTATTATTTAATTATTACAAACATCCGGGAAGACAATTCCCCACAGCAGAACGCCCCCTAGCACCAACACGGGGGGATCATAGTCTGCCCGGCCTGCCAGAGGAGGGCGCCCCCTGCTGAGCCCCCACCCCCTGCAGCACAGCGCCCCTTAGCAGCATATTGCAGCGAGCGCACCAACATTACCTCCTGACGCATTATAAGTTGGGTGGCCAACCCTCCAGGATTGGCCTAGAGTCTCCAGGAATTAAACATTAACCTTGAATTAAAGATTATGTCATGTGATGAAATCTCCAACCAAAACTGGCAACCCGAATTATAAGGGAAAACTGAAGCCCAACCCCTCCAAATGCCCAACCTGGCCAAACCTGCTTAGCTTGCAAGATTTAAAACCCACAGCAATCAATAGTTAATCAAATCAAGTTAATTATAATAATGAAAAGATTAAATGACAGCCTTGAAATCAACAGCAACAAATGCACCTTGCCAACGGCACGAAGGAGGGTTTGGGACTTCTGACAGAAAGAGATGCAGTCCTCCAAATCTTTCTGCCCCACCACTTTGGTCTCTTAGATCAGTGGTTCTCAACCAGGGGTACGCGACATAAAAAGCACTAGCAAAGTCAGGACAAACTAAAATTTCATGCAGACAACGACTTGTTTATACCGCTCCATAGACTATACCCTGAAATGTACGTCCAGTCGTTATATGCCAGTTGATTGGTTTTATAAGTGTATGGTACAAACAAGGATGTCAGCCGTTTTTCAGTCCCAGTGTGGCTGGGACACTTGTATTTTTAGGTCTCATTTTGTAAGCGCGGCATTTTGAAGTGAGGTGTAACTTGGGGGTACGCAAGACAGATCAGACTCCTGCAAGGGCTACAGTTGTCTGGAAAGACTGACAGCCACTTCGTCAGGGGGTTGTATTGGTTTAACGTATAGTGAGAGACGCCAGGAGCTCAACTGATTTACTTTAAGAAAGGGAAGGTACTCGATCACAGTCTATCGTGGGGAACAGAAATTCAATGCTGCAAAGTGAAGCTAGACAGATCCAGACAAGGTGTGAGACTTTGATCACTTTACTCGGCTGAGTACACGGCCCTCCGTCTTAATGCCATTAGGGTTTCGCTGCATTGACCGACGCTGTGCAATGCAGAAATAGAGAAACAACACCAAATCCCACTCATTCTCCTCCCACAGACGCCCGCCCGACCAATAAATTCAGCTCCATACTGATCAATGCTGCTTTGCCTTTTCTTCAGGTCCTCCAGGTGGTAACAGACCGACATCACGCCACCGTTCTCCAGTCTCTTTCTTTTCAGCCGGCCGCTTCTCCTCCGACACAGCTCCCGAGGAGAGGGGAGCGCCTGCGGGACGGCCAGCACTGGCCAGGAGCCTGCGTCTGTCTGAGCATTGGGCCGGTGGACAGCAGAGCTAGACCTCTAAGAGGTAAAGAGAACATAGGAACTGCCAGACTGGATCAGACCCCAGTATCCTCTTTAAGAGGAAGGTACAAGAACCCCTCGTGGGCTACTTTGCTCCTATATTAGGTCTAACAGAGATTGGCTTGAACAATGAAACACGAGGTCTAATATCCCTCAGCATTAGCTATCATAACTCTGAATAGTCTCACCCATATAAATGGCCAGCCCCTCTTTGAATCTTGCGGCCTTCTCTGCCTCGGTAACTTCAAGTGGTGGGGTGTTCTACAGGCTAGCAATGCATTGTCTGGGAAATGATTTCTTTTGAACCATTTTGAATCCACAGGGATGGTGTCCCTAGGCTCTGTTTGCCAGAAGCTGGGAATGGGCGACGGGGGATGGGTCACTTGATTCCCTGTTCGGTTCATTCCCTCTGGGGCACCTGGCACTGGCCACTGTCGGCAGACAGGACCCTGGGCTGGATGGACCTTTGCTCTGACCCATAGGGCTTCCTTTCTCTGGTGAACAGTGCCAATCTTTTCAATCTCTCTCCATAGGAGAGTTTTACCAGGCCTTAGCCAATACCATGCCTAGAGCTGGGCAGGAAACGGTTTTCTCCTCCTGTGAGACTTTTTGAGATTTCCCCCCCCAAAAATGCTCTCATTCCGCATCAGGATAAAATCGAGACTTTTTGAAATGTTTCACAAAAAAAGAAAGAGAGAGAGAGACCCTGGCCATTGGATCCTACACCTTACAACCAGGAACCACCCAGAAACTGAAGCTATTAAGAAACACATTTAAGTTGTGGGAGTGCCTAGAAGGCAGGCAGGTGGGAGCCTCCTAGTGCTAGGCCCTGTACAGACATATAGTCCCTGACCCCAAGCTAAAAGACATCACAGGTGGATGAGACGAAAAAGCAGGTCATGGTGGGAGGCAGTGTAGTGTAACACAGATAATACAACACGTGCATTTTTTAGCCAATCGGGAGCAGCGTTTTCAGACCGCAGTTGTTCTCTTATGGAAGAGGTGAGTTTTGAGGAGGGACTTTTATGGGCATGGTGGCACATGGAGGATCTGTCTGCCAGGGTATTCAACCAGTGCTCCATGAACGGCACTGGCTGGGTTTCCAGAATCGCTGTAAGGTCTGGTCTACACTGCAGACCTACATCGGTATCACTCTGTCGCTCAGGGGTATCCACACCAGAACCAAAACCAGAGAGAGACAAAGCAGGCTGCTCCCTAAGTCAGAGGCACAACTCACTCCACCTCGGCAGGATGACTACTCAGGACACAGATTGCATGCTGCCCTACAGAGGCCCCTGGCCTGCAAGCAGGACCAGGCAACCCCTTAGATGTCCATTTTTACAGTTTTCAATCCACCACAGTTACCTGAAATCATCCTGCCCCAGCTGAGATCAGCAGATGAGATCACCATAAGAAAGGATTGCTGCTGGCCAAGAGTTTCCTGGTACGGGCCCACTGCTGGGGCACCTAAATGGTACCCGAATGTAGGTACACAGGAATATACCCCATCCTTGTCCCCAAGAATCAGGCCGCTTGTGGTCTTCTCCCTTTGCCTTGGCCCCTGACTCCCACCAAGATTTTTCTGGCCTCTCCTAATAAGCATGCCTGTTGCAAATCGGCTCTTAGCACCAGCTACACTCTCAATCTCACCCCTAATGAGCTAATTAACAGCCGTCAGTGCTAAGTAGGGAACTATAACAACACTTGAAGATGCACTGGGTGCCCTACAAAGATAATTAATCAAAGGAGCTAGTCGGGATGGGGAACGGGGCAGAGGAGAAACACAGCTGACATTTTTAATGGTTTTTTTAAGGGAGATTTACTTGTACACCTCCTCGCCGCTTTGCAGGTGGGTGGTAGATTTAACCATCATCAGAAATGTCTCAAGGACTCGTAATCATCCAGATTGTTTTGGGGCTTGAAATCTCCTGGCCTGGAGATCAGACTAGTTCATCTATCGATCCCTTCTGGCTTTAAACTCAGTGAAGCTACGAAGCCACTTGTGGTTTCCCAGGTCAGCCATCAACCTGGGTTCTGTCACTTCCCCGCTTTGTGCCTGTGTCCACCCTCACCTCTTTTGTCTGTCTTCTCTGTTATGCAGGCACCACGTCGCTAAAATGAAGGTGAGTTTTGCATTTAAAGCTGGGATCCGACCTTTTTTATTACGTCTGCAACATATGGCTATGCCCTGCCTAAAATTCCAGCCCTTATTCTTCGAGTGTGCAGTGAAGTGGTTGAAAATTTTCAGGCAAGTCTGTTAATTAGTTTAGGAGTTATCAATTAATTAAAACAGTGTCCTTTCAGAAATGGAAGCAGCTTGTCTCAGACTCCCTTTTGTGTGTCCCTAATGATCTCTTAGGGCACGTCTACGCGGGCAGAGTTACAGCGCCGCTCAGAGAGTGCGGCAGGGAAACCGCTGTTGTGTGTTCACACTGTCAGCTGCCTGCGCAATGGCGTGTTCACACTTACGGCGGTATTCGGAGCGGAGCATTCTGGGCAGCCATCCCACAGAACATCTCTTCCTCTTCTGCCGCTAAGAGTTGTGGGAAGGCGGAGGGGGTCGCGGAGAATCCTGGGTCCTGTCCCAATGCCCTGTCATGCATTGCTTCGCATCCCAGCAATCCCTGTGCTTTCATCTGCATTTGGCGCCATCTTTCAACCGTTTGTGTACTGCGCGTCCTGCCTCTTCGGGCTGCAGGAATGGATCCCACCCTGTTGACCAACATGCTGCTCACTCTGACCAACACATCACGAGTGGCACTGGAGTTATTCCTTAAACTACAAAGGCAAGAGGAGTGCGACATTGATCTTGCCACGTGTAGTAGCTATGACACGAGATTGCTTGTGGCATTCACAGAGGTGCTGACCACAGTGGAACGCTGCTTTTGGGCTCGGGAAACAAGCACTGAGTGGTGGGATCACATTGTCATGCACGTCTGGGATGATGAGCAGTGGCTGCAGAACTTTCGCATGAGGAAAGCCACATTTATGGGATTGTGTGATGAGCTCGCCTCAGCCCCACGGCGCAAGGACACAAGAATGAGAGCTGCCCTGCCGCTGGAGAAGCGCGTGGCGATTGTACTGTGGAAGCTTGCTGCTACTCCAGGCTGCTACCGATCGGTCGCTAACCAGTTCGCAGTGGGAGAGTCGACCGTTGGAGTCGTGTTGACGGAAGTGTGCAGGGCCATTAATCGCATCCTGCTCCAAAAGTCCGTCACTCTGGGCAACGTGCGTGACATTGTGGCTGGCTTTGCACAAATGGGCTTCCCTAACTGCGGAGGGGCGATAGATGGCACGCACATTCCAATTCTGGCACCAGACCACCTAGCCACATTAATCGCAAGGGGTATTTCTCAATGGTTCTCCAGGCGCTTGTGGATCACCGTGGGCGTTTCACAGACATAAACACAGGCTGGTCCGGAAAGGTGCATGACGCACGCATCTTTCAGAACACTGGCCTGTTCAGGAAGCTGCAAGCCAGGACTTTCTTCCTGGACAAGAAGATCACCGTGGGGGAAGTCGAAATGCCCATTGTGATCCTGGGAGACCCCGCCTACCCCTTAATGCTGTGGCTTATGAAGCCATACACGGGGCACCTTGACAGCAGCAAGGGGCGGTTCAACAACAGGCTGAGCAAGTGCAAGAATGACTGTTGTGTGCTTTTGGCCGTTTAAAGGCCCGCTGGCACTGCCTATAGGGGAGGCTGGACCTGGCCGATGACAATATTCCTATGCTTATAGGTGCGTGCTGTGCGCTCTATTATATTTGTGAAGGGAAGGGTGAAAGCGTCACTCAAGGTGGGACCACTGAGGCTCAGCTCCCAGAGGCTGATTTTGAACAGCCAGAGACCAGGGCTATTAGAGGGGCGCAGCGCGGGACCATAAGGACCAGGGATGCCTTGAGGCAGCAATTTGAAGCTGAAAGCCACTAATATTTGTTGCCATGCTCGGGAGTGCAGTGCTTGTAATGCTAGGAGGTGACTGTGATTGGTGCAGACGATGCACTATGAAGGTTTAAGAAAATTACCTGTTGCTTTGCAGGGCTCTGTTTGCTTTCAATTAATGGCATAAAGATGGCTTTCAAACTAACACAATTATTTTATTAAAAAACAACAACCAGAGGAGAGAGACAAACAGAAAAACCCCTCAGCACTGAGCGGGATGGGGGAAGAGAGGGTTGCAGGAGGAAGTGGTGTCCCGGGACGGTTAAAGATTTGTGTATGTCCAGGTATCATATGCAAGCTTCTCCTTTGGAGTACCGTGCAGCGGGTACTGTACTTCAGCAGGGCTAAACTGCAGAGGGACGGGTGTTGAGTGCAGTGGATACTGGGAGTCCGCGGTGTTGGGAGGACTGGAATGCTGCGGGTACCGACTGGAGCCAGGAGGTTGACAAGAGTGTGTTGGCGGTGTCTGGGGGGCGCATGGGAAAGAGTTTTGCGACAGCAGCTGCAGGGGAGGGCGGGTGTGGAGCTGCTCGGTTTGCAGAGCTAGTATCTCCTGGAGCGTGTCCACTTGGTGCTTCATAACGTTTAAGATCCGCTCCGTGGCTTCGTTCTGGTGCGCCGCATTCTCCTTTCAGTCCCTCTTCTCACTGTCCCGCCACTCCTTCAATTCCTGTTTTTCGGCAGCGGAGTGCATGATAACCTCACGCAGAAAGTCCGCCTTAGTTCTTCATGGCTGCTTTCTAATTCTGCACAGCCGCTCAGCCGGCGATAACAAAGAGGGACGCTGGGCTCCCAAGGTCAGATCTGTGAAGACAAAATGCAACGTTTTACAGAAGCAGTATTGTTTGCAACACAGAGACCCCTGATTTAAAACACAGCCACTATTTACACACCTGTCACTAACTGGCTGACCCCAGGCAAGCACACGTGAGCCACAAGACCCCCAGAATGGTGAGTAACCGCGGGGGCAGGGGAAATCGGTGTTTCAGGACCGCACTGTACACTGGGCACATGGCTCTTGGGGAGAGCCAGCACTGTGTGTGTGTGTGTCCCCACATTTTCCACAGGCTGTGTTCATTAAGGCAGATATCTCACTGCTGAGGGTGAGCAGGGACTCAAGAGAGGGTTTTTTCCAAGACGGCGACGTCTGCCCTGCCCTTATGCGGCTCGCCTGTGTCCCCCCAACTCAGTGACGGCAGAATGGTGTGGGAAAGTTACCCTTAATGGGGCAAGAAACAAAGCATCTCTGCTAAAGAACCCGGGGCAGCGGATTGCCCAGTATCTCCATGAGAGATCTCTGGGGCAGATTCCCGTGAAGTGAGGGAGTCAATCAACACCCTGTTCCACCGCCCAGACTAGGCATATGGTGGTACACGCGTCATACAGATACAAGCCTGCTTTCTGCAACCCTCTTGCCCCCAGCAACTCGCTTCAGCGATGCCCCAAATCAAAGCCACTTACCAGGGGCCTCCTCTCCTGTTTGCGCTTCGCCAAGCTCCAACAGCTGTGACTGGCTAGGCTCCTCCGGGGTAGAGAAGAGCTCCTGGTTGTATGCATCTCTAACCTCTGAGTCATCCTCTGCTTCTGGGTCCCCCTCCGTATCCCCGTCCAAGATTTCCTCCTCCTGGCTTGGTCCACTCTCGACTGGCACGCGAGCCACCAGTCTCCACAGTGGCCTTTGCAGTGGAGGTGGGGTCGCCACCGAGTATCACGTCCAGCTCTTTGTAGAACCGGCAGCTCGTGGGCGCAGCACCGGAGCAGCGGTTTACCTCCCGCACCTTGTGGTAGGCGTTCCGCGGTGCCTTCACTTTGACCCTGCACTGCAATGTGTCCCGGTCATGGCCTCTTTCTGTCATGCATCGTGAAATCTGTCCGTAGTTGTTATAATTCCTACGGCGGGAGCGCAACTGGGACTGGACGGCTTCCTCTCCCCAAATGCCGATGAGGTCCAGCAGCTCGGCATTGCACCAAGTGGGGGATTGCCTGGTGCGTGGAGCAGGCATGGCCACCTGGAAAGATGCGCTGAGACCACCGCACGCGTCACCGAGCAAGCAGAAACGTGCCGCTGTAGACAAGGCCTTAGCAACAGAATAACGCTGACTCTTCCCATATCGTTAAACCGGGGGAAATCATATGCAAAATCTTTGAAGACATTGTTGACGGATTATCGGTCACTTTGACTGTCATTTAGACTGTCAACTTTTTGAGGCCGGGTGTTTGTATACTGCCCAACACAATGGGACCGGGATCTCAGTCAGGGGTCTGTACAGCGCCGTGCACAATGGGGGAACCCGATCTCAGTTGAGGGGTCCATAGTTGGTACAGTATTACCAATAAAAATTATCTTCTGGGCTGGAGCATACACACACGCACCCCCAAAAACTCCAGCAAACGCTTTCAAATTGCACCTTTTTTGCCAATCTTTCCTGCCCCCTCTGCCACACACAAATCCAGAGATCCAAAAAGCCATCACTTCAGGTGCTCGGTATCACCAAGCGAACGTTCTTCAGAAGGAACAGGGCGGGGGGGAGGAATCTTTGCCCACGCAAATGATGGAAAGCGATTACCATATGTATAACTTCGCATTGTTCATCGCGGGGGCACGCCGTGCGCGAACGCAGTTACCGCACCGACTGATGAGTGGGACTGTGGGGGAGATGGATGTCTTTTTTGGGGGGGGGCGGGAGGATGCTGGAGAGAGAAAGCAGCAAAGAGTGGAGAAGATTTGGGGGCTTGAGTGAAGGTCCATTGGACAGATCCGCGTTAGATCACTTCTCAGGGGACTGACAGCTACGCAGGTACATTATTTTGAATGGTGCCTGCCGGAAACAGATTTTATGCAAGCTCAGGGAGCAGCAGGAGGCCGGTAATTGGCGTGCAAGATAACATGAGTAATATTTTTAAAGAGAAGGGAATCTGGGGGCAGGGCTGGGTGGAGGAATAGCTCTTCAGCTAGCCATAACAATTTTGAGCAGTGAATGTTTCATCGTCCTGGTAGCAATAAACAGGAAGGGGTAAAAACATTTGTATCAAGGGAGCTGATGCCCGCAGAGGGTGTTCTCCCACAACGCTTTGAGAAAATGAGCCAGATTCTGAGCTCAGTTCCATGGAGGTCAATCCGGAGTGACTCAGGATTGACACCCGTGTAAACGCGATTAGAAGCTGGCCCAGGTCGGATCTCAGTTGGGGTCTGAGTGGCACGACAGGGCCTTCATTTCAATTGCAGCCTCGAGGCGCTACCATGATGCAAATAATCATAAACTGAAGCAGGTGTGTAAGGAGCACTCCAGTCAGGTAAGTAATCCATTGCTGCACTCAAAAGGGGTCGGAGCCCATGGAGCCGGGAGCAAATTAGATTTGCAAAAAGCTTTACCAATCAGGATCAATTCTATTTGCATGTCCCTATTTTTACACGGTCTGTTAGTTCCACCGGCGTTGAGCGAATCATTAAAACACCCTCGTGCCTATGTGGCAACGTACCAGCAGGGGCGAGGTTTCCCTGTATTCTTCCATCCAGCGCGGGCTGAAAGATAAATAAATGCCGTTTCAGCTGTGCATTAGCTGTTTCTTCATGGCTCCTAAAAGATGTTCGTTAGCAACTCGGAGAGAAAATAGATTCATTAGCCGCCGGCACACGATGGAAAACGTAACCGGAGGGTTTGGATAAAAGCGGCCACTCAAATCTTGGCATACACTTTTCCAACACCCACTGTGATGAATTCCATCGCCTGTGTAACTCAGGGGTGTCCAAATGTTGCAAAACCAACAACACACCACCCAGTGCTTAATTTGCATTGAATTTGCATAACTTCTAGGCCATTATGCTAATGACACCGAACCTGGGAACAAACAGGAGAAGCATGAATATACATGGCTTATAGGGAACAATATTCAAGGGATGGAGTGATTGGAAGCTTTGGAGCAGAGATGGTCTTTTTCTTCTGTGTTTGTACAGCGCCCAGCACACCAGTCCGTGGCTAGGGCTCACAGGCATTCCTGGAACACACCTAATAAATAACACATTTTCCTGGGTGTCATTGTTTCTAATACAATGACCACGAAACACCCCAGTGAGCTGGGTGCTGTACATACACGTAGCCAGAGGCAGTCCCTGCCCTAGGAAGATTACAGTCTATATGGGCAACAGAGAAGGGTAGGGAGGGGAAACTGAGGCACAGCGAGTAGCAGTAACTTGCAGTGGTAGACCAGAACCCAGGCCGGGCTGATGGGAGTGGGGAAAGGGGGGACAACTACACTGGGGCACCCAGCTCAGGGGACCCCCCCCCCAAAAAAAATCATCTGTGTAAACAAAGTGAAATGGGACGGGGCCTCAAATTTCTCTCTACAGGCCTGAGCATAAGCCACTTGCCTGCACAGTCTCTCCTAACTACAGTCTCCATTCCCCGGCGTGGAGATGGTGCTTATAAAACGAGCAAGGCCAATTAGCCCCCAAAGGTTGAAATCGAAGAGAGCTGTGTTGTTTCAAAACCACCCAGCAGGGAAGCTATTGTTAGAATCCGCCCAGGCGCTGCTGTATCATAGCGAGGTACAGGCATTAAAAGGGTTATGTAACGGGGTCGAAGATGCTTGGATTCGAGCTCTCACCATAATATAATAAGGCTGAGCGGAGTGATGGAAAAAGCTGTCTGATGCGTAGGAAGCGCATCGTTCCCTACCTTGGCCGCTGGCTAAGCCCGCTCCAGAATTCATCAGCGTTGTAACACGGGCCTCGCTGATGGGTGGGGAGCTCCGTGGTGTCAGCTTCTGGTTTATATCTGCTTACCATCTTGGACTGCCTAAAAGCCAGCCAGCCAGCAGCATGTAAACAGGAAGAAATAAACAAAACAGTGGTTCTCAAGCTATTTACCATTGTGGGCTGGATATGCGGCCCACAAAGTGTTACCTGTGGTTGAGAACCACAGTGCCCCACACCTAGCCCCCGCCCCACAAACCCCTATGCCCAGTTGAGAACCGGTGAAATAGAAGCCAACAGGAGAAGAGCCTGGGAGTATATTTTAAAGGAAAAACTCTCAATATATTTCTAGAAATCCAAAATAACTCCTTACCTGTGTTACTCATCAAGGGCCTGATTAGATTGATAGATCCATCCATCAATCCCCATACACCTCTGCTGTGCCACCCCCATATATATCTATTCCTATCCATCCACCCCATGCAAACCCCTCTGACTAGCCTCCTCCATATGCGTCTGTTCATACCTATCCGTCCGTCTGCGGAGATGAGGTAGACAGACAGATGGATAACGCACATGCTTAAGGACCTTGGTGAATTGGGACCCGGAGTTTCCAGACACTCGAGAGTCAGTATTATTGACAGGTATAAAGCACAGAGAGGAGAGGTGCATTGCAGATTGCTTTTGTTCCAGCTCTCTCGCCAATGCAACAGGAGTTTCTTCCTCTTCTGCGCTGTGAGAAAATTAACCTCATGCTGTTTCCTCCTCTTCAATCAGTTTACAACAAGCACATCCACCCCTCCGCCCATGCCAAGCCATTTACAGACAGAAGGCACTTAAAAAGGGGGCAATCAGACCAGACGGTCCCTGAAATCGGTCTGTCTGTGCCAACAGCCAAACACGGCATTGTCGCAGAGGGGAAATAATTGAGCAGATAATAATGATGGTGATTAACGACCCAGGTTCTTTCCCACCCGAGCGCTAATGCTAACGCGAGCATCCCTAATTAACACAACTGGAAAGGAGATGGCACAGAATAACACACAAGCAGTGTCAAGTCCATGTCTGACAATTTGGAGGCCACCTTGGTGCCTCAGTTTCCCCAGAGGGGTGAAAATACCTCCCTCAGAGCGCAGTGGTGAGGATTAATTGGCTCATGCTTGTAAAATGCTTTGAGATTCTTAAAGGCTGATGAACTTGTCCAGGAGAAGTTGCAACTTCTTTAATCGAGCGGAGAAAGGCAGACCGAGAAGCAACGGCTAGGGGCCATTTCTTGTCTACACTAGAAAAGGTTCGCCAATGTAGCTAAACTGGCAAACTCGCCTAGGGTTCGTGCAGTTTATGCTGGCAAAAACCTTCTCCTGTACTGGGACAGCAAAAGTTTTCTAGAGTGGACCTGGCCTGGGAGTTAAATTCGGACAAATTAAAATTAGAAACGAGGCAGAAATGTGATTAACCACTGGAGAAAACTCCCCAGGGCAGGGGTGGATTCTCTGTCTCTTGAGACGCTTTAGTTATTGGGCTCAATCCAGAGGGAACTGTGTTGAATTGTGCGCACTGTGTTAAACAGGAGTCAGACTAGAAGAGCGTCCAATGGTCCCTCCCTTCTGGCCTTTGAATCTATGAACCTTCTACGGCTGGATAAAAGCAAACACACAGGTTATTAAGCCAGGCAGAGGAAGACATTTAAAATGCCGACTTGTGGCTAAACAGAGGTACAATATCACCCTCAGTACAAAGGTACGGCAGTGGCATGAAGCCGAGAAGATAACGATACTTGGAAAATTTACCCTTGTCATGCTATTTCTTTGCTTCCGGTAGGGGAGTATTATTTAGGGGATCATTAAGTTGACTAATGTTAAATCATTAAACAAAGAGAGCTTTTATACAGTGGCGACGGCGAGCCCTGTGCAGGTGGCTCGCACTAGTCCGTGAGCTGACAAATTAAGTCCACGCACTTTGCACGAGTGTCTCCTAGCACGGCTTACACACGTGAGTATTCTTCCACTGCTGGAGGGGGATGGGGACGACGGTCCCGCTTGCTGTAGTATGAGGAACGGAGCTGGAGAAAGAGGGTCAGGTTTCAGAGGGGACCCATTTGGGGGTGACCCCCAGGGTTCAGTAAGACAAGCTGGGTCTAAGCGCCTAACATGCAAACTCTGGAGACTCATTTAAAAGTGGTGGCTTAGTACTTTATACTGGAATTGGAAAAGGTTCAGAAAAGGGCAACAAAAATGATGAGGGGTCTGGAACGGCTTTCGCATGAGGAGAGATTAATCAGACTGGGACTTTTCAGCTTGGAAAAGAGATGACTAAGGGGGGATGGGATAGAGGTCTATAAAATCATGACGGGTGTGGAGAAGGTAAATACAGAAGTGTTATTTACTCCTTCTCATAACACAAGAACTAGGGGACACCCAATGAAATTAACAGGCAGCGGGTTTAAAACAAACAAAAGGAAGTATTTTTTCACACAACGCAGTCAACCTGTGGAACTCCTTGCCACAGGATGTTGTGAAGGCCAAGACTATAACAGGGTTCAAAAAAGAACTAGATAAATTCATGGGGGATAGGTCCATCAATGGCTATTAGTTAATTCATTTGTTAATGAAACACAGGGGGGAAAATGAGATTTTGAAACCCCCCATGTCTGAAGTGACCCTCTGCATATAACACCAGCATCTCAGCCTGCTTCCGCCTTGTACCATGGCATTAACACTTCCCGATCTAGTTAGAAGCAAGCCATGCTTGATCAGAGACTTACCTACCACAGCAAACAGCAATACGCTCTGTCTTTAGCAACTAATCTATAGACCAGCAGAAACCAGGTGCTTAGTAAAGTTGTGTGTCTAGCCAAAAGATTGAATCAATCGACACTGGAAGCTACAAGGCGATCATTTTAAAAGTGCTTGGATGCACCTACCCAAAGTGTACAGGAAATTCAGGAGTCAGGCCCAAAAAATCATGATATTGGCTTAAAAATCATGATATTTTAAAAGTCTGTTAATAAGCATTAGGGCTTATCTGATATCTGGGTTTTTTTTACACTTTAGGTCTCACATTTTCCAGCTGTTTTCTGCAACCATTAGGACCAGAAACTGAGCTCTCTTAAAAATTGTAAAAAAAATTAAAGCTGAGTGTTGTATGTTATAACATGACTCCAGGCACTGGGGCTTTAAGAGAAATATCAACTATTGTGAGACTCATGATAAAATCCTGGGAATTCGTGATGCTGAAAGGGGGCGATTTCTTAGCGCTGACTTCACTGTATTTCAGTACACTGTACAGTAAAAAACAAAACTTTCCTGACTCAACTCATCTCTGCCACCTGGTGGAAATATTTCCCAGTGACAATTAGAACAACATTTTTTTTTTTAAATACTTCCTCTTCAGCTGCCCAGATACTAGACAGACACATATTTGTCTAGATAGACAGACCTGCAGGACACAGAGAGAAAGAGAGGGGTGTGTCTAGAGACAGACAGACAGATGGATCCATCAATCCCCATACACATCTACCTATCTATCCTCCTATCCCCAAATACATCTACTGATTGATCCATCTATCCATTCCTTCTTTCCATACATTTCTCTCTCTCCATCTCCATATCTATCCATTCCTTCTTTCCATACATTTCTTTCTCTCTCTCCATCTCCATATCTATCCATTCATCTCACACATTATCTATCAGCCATCCCCATACACCCCCTTTATCTATCTGTCTGTTTATCCCCATCCAACCCATCTATCTATCTATCTATCCCCATCCACCCCCTCTATCTATCGATCTATCCCCATCCACCCCATCCATCTATTCATAGATTCATAGATTCATAGATTCTAGGACTGGAAGGGACCTCGAGAGGTCATCGAGTCCAGTCCCCTGCCCGCATGGCAGGACCAAATACTGTCTAGACCATCCCTGATAGACATTTTTCTATCTATCTATCTATCCCCGTCCACCTCATCTATCTATCTATCTATCTATCTATCTATCCCCATCCACCCCCTCTATCTATCTATCTATCCCCATCCAACCCCTCTATCTATCCCCATCCAACCCATCTATCTATCTATCTATCCCCATCCACCCTATCTATCCCCGTCCACCCCAACTATCTATCTATCTATCCCCATCCAACCCCTCTATCTATCTATCTCCATCCACCCCATCTATCTATGTATCCCCATCCACCCCCTCTATCTATCTATCTATGTATCCCCATCCACCCCCTCTATCTATCTATCTCCATCCACCCCCTCTATCTATCTATCTATCCCCGTCCACCTCATCTATCTATCTCCATCCACCCCCTCTATCTATCGATCTATCCCCATTCACCCCATCCATCTATCGATCTATCTATCCCCGTCCACCTCATCTATCTATCTATCCCCATCCAACCCATCTATCTATCTATCTATCCCCGTCCACCCCAACTATCTATCTATCTATCTCCATCCACCCCCTCTATCTATCTATCTAT